AGGATTGAGTGATTTTATCACAAGAGTCAGGCAAGAATTTTTGCATAAGAGTCAGTTCTGGGTGACCTGGCTATTAGAAAGCCAGCAATGTCCATGGTGACTCAGGAGGTGCAGTACAGCATGTGGCAGCTGGAAAGTTAGGTTGTGGCCTAAGATGAACTTGTCAGTTTTCTTGATGAGAAGCACAGTGTCTGCTAGAGCATGGTAGCAAAGGGAACAGACCTCCATGACTAGTGACCACTGGACCCTCCGACAGTTTGAGTAAGATTCTTTGAAGCCACTTGTCATCATTTATCAACAAACAAGTTGAATGAGGAATCATATTTGGAATTCCCAAGGCTGAGGTTACAGAGAGCGCTTTTTAGTGTTACTGAAGGTTTTTCCTTGTTCTGGGATCCTGTCAAATGTGTCAGAGTTTTTGTTTTGTTTTGTTTTTCAGACAAGGAACCATGGAGGCTTTGCTTTTTTTTCCCCTTTGAACCCAGGAATCCAGATTCCACAGAAGCCAGCAGCTCCAAGAAATTTGTGGGGTTTCTTTCTTGTGGTTGGGACCAGGATGGAACAGATAACTTTTTTTGTTCAAAGGCATGGTGTCTCTGATTTAAGTCAAATCCCAGGTGTCTGACATTTTATTTGTCGATTTTTGCCTTTTTCCAAGGCAAAAATCCTTGTGGCCAGTTTCTGTCAGGTGTCGCAGCAGGGCTTTTGTGCCTTGCCAATAGGCACTTGGGTGTCGCTAGCTGCAAGGCGATAGATCATCAGTGTATTGGAGGAGGGTGCAGTGATAGTTTGTGCTGGGGAAAGTTATGAGTTCAGCTGCAAGGGATTTTCCAAAGAAGCAGGCAAGGTTTTGAAGCCCCAGGAAGCCATGAGGTCAGTCGACTTCTGATTCTAAAGCTGCAATCTTCCCATTTAAAGGAGAAGAAGGGCTGGCTGGCAGGAGCCGAGCAAAGGCAGAAGAAGGCATCCTTTGGGTTTAGGCAGGTGCACCAGTAGGCAATGAGTGGCAGAATGCTGAGGACCTCATAAGGGTTTGGGACTGCAGGATGGAGGGTGACCATGAGGCATTGGTGGCTCAGAGATCCTGAACTCAACGATATTCCCTACTGAGTTTTTTTACACGCAGGAGACGTGTATTCCAGGGTGATGGGCAGCCTATGAGTATTTTGTAGTTCTGAAGTCTCTGGATATGTGGTTGAATTTCTAACTGAGTCTCTAGCAGCATAGTGGCATGTTTGATGCAGAAGGTGTTGTTTCTGAATGGAGTTTCACAATGAGAGGTGGGCAGTTGATGGCCCAAACTCAGGGAAAGAGAGCCCTGAGAATATCTGGGTTAGTTTCATCTGTGTGTGCACCCACCAGTTATTTTTCTTGGGGGTCTGTGACACCAAACAGGAAATGTGGTTGTGGAGCTGTGGTCATGAACAGCGAAGCAGACTGTTCTGGAGAGAAGATGATAGTGGCCCCTGACTTAGACAGGATGTCTTTCTCCAGGAGTGGATGGACACTCCAGCAAATAGAATTTATGTGTGATTTGATATCCTCCCAGGCTACAAGTCCATGCCTGCTAGACGAGGTGAGAAGCAAGAGTCCCAGTTGCCCCAGAGATGGTAACTTTTTTTCTGATGGAGGAGCAATAGGTTGGATAACTACAGTGTTCTGTTCCACTTTTCTGTAACCAGGAAAGTCACAGGTTGGCCCCCAATATGGACATGGACATGGACTGTGGGCTCCTGGTACCCCAGATAAAGAAGGGAGCCCTGTCTGGCCTATTCTGAGCCTCTCAGACCAATGAAAGTGTTGTCATCTGGTTGACACTGAAGCTTTTGAGAATCCTTATCTTTTAGACTGAGTGGGCATTTATTTTTCCAGGGTCCACAGCCTTGCACATTGGTCTTTGGCCAGGGGGTGTGGTCACCTACCAGGCTGAATTTTCTTGCAGATATTGGGTGCTGCTTGTTCAATGAAGGCTGATACACCATCTGTAGGTTTTTTAGGGTCTCAGAGCCAAAAGGAGCGTAGACCCTATAGGCTTTGTAAGTCTCTGGTAAAAATCCGAAGGGTCTGTTAGGCTTCTGGGTGACAGCAGTAACTTTTGATGCATCAATGGGCTTTCTGCATGCCTCTTTGATGCCTTTGAGAAGGGCTTGATGGTATCTCTGGACTGCTTTGTTTCTTCTTCACTGTGTTGTAATCTTAGGTTGTAACCTTAGGCAACCTTTAGGAAAGGTCATGTAGCCCATCCATCAAGGCTGACAGTCCCTGGAGGGACCTCTCCCTCTAACCAGTAATTTTTTTTTTCCCTCATTCAGAATGTGGCATGTTTTCCAGTGCTGAAGATTTAGGCAGAGTTGCTGACATCATCATAAGTAGGCTCTAGATGACCCCACATGGCCAGGATGGGCGGGTAAGGGCAGCTATAAAACAAAAGGCTCTGGGGCAAAGCCTCTGTTGTCTAAAACAGACAATGACTGCTCAGAATTCCAGAGCTGGAGATGGAGCGGAGGGCCAGTGTGGTATCGGAAAAACTAGCTGGGTGGAGGGAAGGAGGGCTGGGAACTGATAAGCAGAAGAACGGGTGGCTGGACCCTGGCAAGTGGCGGGGCTACAGATAGTGAGTGTGGCCAATGAGGTATCAGCTCTGAACTGGAGGAGTCTTTAGGCAGGATGAGCTCTCCCTGGTCAGCCCCTGTAAGTAAATATGGGGCTCCGCTTTGTGAGCAGGGACACAAGGCTTCGTCAGGAGAATAGCGTGTGGCAGGAGGGCTGACAGACCAGAGCAAGGCTGGAAGTGGATGAATCAGGAGCAGCAGGGAGCAGTGCTGGTGGGGCAACTGTAGGTGCTGGCAGCAACCGCGGTGGCCTGACAAGGGGTGACAAGTCTGCCACGGAAGAATCCTCAGGAAGGGAGGGCTTTTGTGAGGGATCTTCCAGGATATGGCCAGCTTCATTCTAATCTTGTAATTGCCAGAAAATCCCTTTTAAAAATTTCATTAGGATACATTCTAGAACTGCAAACTTTGACTAATTAGATCCTTCTTAGTTCTGGTTTCAAAACTTTAGTTGTTGAAGACCCAGAAGAGAAGATCAGTGACGTTAGTACTGCAGACAGGGAGCTTGACTAATAGGCTAGCACCTGGGTGGGAAGCACTTAGAAATGGAAAGGCCAGCCAGAGGACTGCTGTACCTTACCTATCACACTGTTTTAGTGTTTTAATCCCTGCACAACATTAACAGACAACAGCTACACAGCTTTACAGAGAAAACTTGAGCTCAAAAGCCACATAGTGGGCATGACAATCACGATATTATCTTAGGGTAGAATAGCCTTTCTAGTCAAACATCTCCATCTGATCACAAGACATTAAATGACAGACAGAAACTCTCACCCCATTTGTTATCCTTTAATAGGATGTCATCCAAGGAGAATGTACTGGCCTATAAGTGTACCTCGGAAGTATATATAACGTCTATCCTCTTTTTTTTTTTTTTTTGGTCTTTTCCGTTTCTATCGGTACCAGGGATCGAACTCATGACTGCCTGCTTGCAAGGCAGGCGCTTACACCGCTGAGCTAAACCCCCAGCCCCCCAACGTCTATCCTCTTAATTTTAGTGTGTGACATTGTCTGAACTGTTTGGTACCTGAGCATCCCTGAGTGTATGATATGTAAGACTTTTTTTAAAAAAAACTATCATCTGACTGGTGGTCACATGTTGCTTTGACATATTCCTTTTACCATAAGTAGCTGGAACACAAGAGAAAGGCAGATATCTGAGTCTAGATAAAGTTTATCAGCACAAACAATCGTAGTCTTACGTCTTGGAAGTCTGTACACCTGGAAGGCATGAATACATTTAGTATTCTGTGAGATTAACAAAAGTCAGTGTCATAGTCATATGGAAACCTGTGACTCTTAATCTAGTTTTGTGCTAACTGCATTTTTTAATAAGAAAATTTGATCATTTTACCCACAGGAAACTTAACTTTTTGATGATAACCAGTAGTAAACATATTACAATAATATGCTTAGCAAATTTTATTGAAGTGTGTCTTTGATAAGGCTATGGAAATTATCAGGGTTTCATTAGTGAAAAAAGGTTGGAAGAAAATATGTCCAGGCAGCTGATTCTTTTTCACCAATGGGAGGTTTGCTCAACAGTTTCCTTAGGCCTAAGGGGTCACCATTAAATTATCAGAATGACTTTTTGATGTCCTATGAGAATCAGATCATAAAAATTAACACATTGTTTTTGACCCATGAAAAATTTCAGAGTTATACACAGACAGTAATATTTACTGTATTTGTAAAACATCTTGAGATCATTTTGATCAGGTGGCAACCTAGGAGGAAGTGTGTCCTTAACTCTCATGACACCTATAATCAACTTACATCATAGACAAATGTTTTAAAAATTCAACAAGGCAAAAGCATAAAATTGTTGAGCTCAGACAGAAACAGCTATAAGTATTATAATCACTCACAAATTAAACAGAAAGACAGAAACAAATAAGGCAATTGTTAATAGACCAGCGTCTACTGGAGGGATACCAGGAGGGTATAGAAATCAAATAGAAATTAAAGGGATACCAAATTCTTTCTTCTTTTGCTCAATACCGAAATCTCTTACTCCCCTGGATGGATTCTTAAGCACTGGTGGGGCTTTAACCCCCAACACTTTACCTCCTCATGCCAGCAAGGAATGCAGAGGGAAGGGCGGATTATGATGCCCTTTCCAACTTGAGTTGTAGTGTAAGAAAGAAAAAAATCGGTCAAAATCGCCTCGTGTCCATACTTTTTTGCATCAAAGAAAGAATTCTTGTGTTCCACTATAAGTGCAAGCCGAGCAGCAAGAAAATCAGCCACCTCAGACCCCTAAGACATGCACTGTCACTGAGCCTGAGGCTGCTCTTCCCAGACCTTAGGAACCGGTTAGGTTCCCAGGACAACTCCAGTTAAAGCCTCACCCACTTGATTGAGCCGGAAGCTTTCCCTGCTTACCTTTGGGCCCTGAGTGTGGCGTTTCCAGGCCAGACATCACGAAAGGCTGTGTCCTGTTGTTAGCTGGGTTTGTTCAAGATCCTCCAGGACAGTATTCCACAAGGATGTAAACAGGATACAGAAGTACCCATGCTCATACGCCCCTTCCTGCAGTGACCTAAAACAGATCAGGTAAGATCTAGAGAAGTTTTCAAGGGACCCTGATAAGTACGTTGAAGCTTTTAGAGACTTAGTCCAACTTGTAAATTTGCTTACAGAGATGCAATGTTACCCTTAAATCAAGCATTGACTTCTAATGAGGAACAGCAGGTACAGATTTTAGTCTATGAGTTTCTCAATTATATTACAGATACGGGGAGACATATTTTCCGAGTGGGCTTAGAAAGAACCTCGCCAGCACTGTTATAGAGGGAAATGACACAGGTGACCAGATAGTCCAAACTGCCTTAGAGACCTCTTTATCCTAGGGCCAGGATTTCTTCTGGACTATTCCTGGCCTTGTAAGTGATAGATTCTTTGGCAGGCAGGGATTTCAGAACATTTGATTTAGAGTCATTTATTAGAAAGTAAGCCCTGAAGAATGTAATTGGAAGACTTTCATTTTCCCTCCCTCTCACTCTCTTTCCAGAGGTTAAAAAGCACCTATTCAGGTTCCTTTATCAGCGTAATCTTCTATTTGGCAACGCAGCGGGAGTCAAGCATGCTTTTATTTCTGCAGGTAAATCTTACTGAGGATTAGAGATCCCCCAGGAAAGCTCCTGATGGAGTCTTTCTCCTCCTGAGGTGGCTGGGCTTCAGCTGTCCTGCGCACTTGGAGTGGGTCTTCTGCCCTCTCCACTGCCCTGCCCCTAAGAACAACACCGTTTACAGCAGAGTTTAATCCAAGGCAGTTTCTCCTCTGTGGCTGCTGGACTTCAGGACCAAGTCTGCAGAATGGTGAGTGTCCCCTCCCTGGGACCCTTCCTGAGTGAAACTGACCTTCGCTTATTGCTGGGCCATGTTAAAAAACTGGTCTAGATCTAATCCTGAAACTCTCAAGGAACAAATGTAAAAGTTTCAGTCCAAATTTATCTGCCTCTTAATCCTTAGGCAGAATGGGAGGTCAGCTCCTCTCTCCTCTCAGGAGTGATGCTGACTGGTTCCTAATCACAGGGCAGACTCATTTATATAGCACAGATAAATTCACTGCTGGAACAAAACAGTTTTAGGGGACCTTACAAGTGTAACGGAAATTTTAAATGGGAACAGGTATTAAACTGTCTTTAACAGTTTGCCCCTTTAGAGGAAACGGTTTTCTATTATTAAAAAGGCAATTTCAGCTTTCAACTGTGACTACCCAACAACCATGGCTACTAAAAAAACTCGAGAAGCCTGTGTAGCAGGATATTCCAATCAGACAGACCTTCAGCCTGGTGCCTCTCTTAAAATTGTCTTTCATTGGCAGATACAAATCGATTTTATTCTTTCTGATTCTAATTACAAGAAACCTCTGTTCACTGACCCACAGACAGCTCTGTCTACTCTATTTATAGTTACAATTGTGAAAACTTAGTGGAATCCCTCAAACTCCATTTGGCCAAGTACACTACTGTCTGCCTCTTTACTCAACTTGTGACTGGTAACAGCTTTACTGTTTGGGTTCGGTGACTTTTTTCCTTCTATCTGCCTTTTTGGGAGTTTTAACATAGTTACTGATATCTTAAGTTGCTATGTAGATATCATTTGAGTTAAGGAAACACTTCCGCTCAGGTTGTCTCTCCTTGATGGAAAAGAAGCAGCTGTCCAGAGGTATTTTGTTCTGCTATTTTTTTGCTCAGGGACCCCAATAATTTCCATAGCCTTATGGGGACATACCTGAAGACTGAAGAAACACTGCTAAACATAGTATTGTAATATATTCACATTGGTCATCATAGACCGACTAAGTTTTTTGTGGGTAAAAAATAAGGTTTTCTTATGAAGAGATGTCTTTCACATAAAACTAAGTTCACAGGCAAAGGCTTTCATAGAATGGTGGCATTCGTTCTTGCCAATTTCCTAATATAATGAATATATCCGTTCCTTCTGGGCACACAAGCTTTCTAAGATGTGAAACCGAGATTGTGCATGGTCAGATCTTTTGTGTGCCTTTCCCTTATGCTCAGTTTCTTTTGATAAGAGGTAGGCAGGAGGAACATTAGTTCAAGGCCAGTGTGGGCTACACAGTGAGCTCCTGTCTCACAATAGCGAAACTAGAAACCTAGGGCAGAACTTAGGGCTGGGCTAGGAGTCAGTACTGACCATGTCTCTCCCTTGGTCACGGCCTCACAGCCTCAGTCCTTGCTGGACACTGACGAGTCCTAGAAGTCTGAGAAAACCAGATCCATGCAGACCCCGGTCTTGGGGGGTGGAGCTGAGTGACTGCCCAGCGGAGATCCCTCGTCTAAGGTCTTCATTTTCCAGATGAGCAAACTGAAGCAGAAAGAATGGGGACCATTTCACAGCACTTCACACTGGTGATCTTGTGCTGGCCATCATGGTTCTTACACGCAGTACCAGAAATTAAAACTGTAGCATGGATATATAGGGAAAAGCATTAACTAAAAACACTGGGAGGGGCTTTGGCTGGAGGAGCTGATGTAGATCAGGCTTCCCCTAACAGACGCTGGGCAGGGAATTGGACTGGCTGAGGCCTAGGGCAGCTCCTCAAGAACTGCTGGTGAGCTGGGGCCTGGTTTCCTAGCTCTGGGCTCCTCAGGGCTGGAAGGCAGTTCTGGTCCCAGGAAAGGATTCTCCCTGCCTCTGCTTCTCCCAGACCCCAGTGGATCACAGGTTCAGGACAATGGCTGGAGGCTTCTGGCTGTCCTTGAATGTCCCTGTGGATTCCTTATCTTGGTGTCCTCAGTCTTCACAGGGAGTGAGGTCATGGAAATTCAGTGCTATTCTACCTTGGTTTGCTAAGGTTTAGATGACACTCCTTCATGATTACCATACCCTTGTGCAGAGCTGAGAAGGAATGTGACCTAAAGATTTACAGTAGTGAGGGTTACAAAGCGAGAGGCAAGCTTTGGTCCACTTTCATTTATCCATTGGGCATTAGTAGGAAGAGTCAGGGTTTTTTTTGTTTTGTTTTTTGAAAAACTGCATCCTTGACTGCTAGAGAAGAAATAGGACAAAAGACAAACCACATTTCTTTTCTTTTATAATGGACATACAGCCTTTTGAGCAAACCACACTTCTAAAGTGTTCCCCAGGCTAAGGACCCCCTGAGGGGCCAGATGGTATCTCAGCAGAGTTCTCTGAAATGCTGCTTCCTATGAGCCAGATTACAGGCACAGGAGCCCAGGAGCACAGGGAAGTTTCAGTCACTCTGGGGAGAGTCATCCTGAGAAACTCAGGATATTTTTCTTTTCCTTTTTGCGGAAATTGGTTTTTTGGAGACAGGACCTTGCTATAGAGTTGAGGTTGCCCTCAAACTCACTGTGCAGTGGAGACTAGCCATGAACATGCAGGAATCCTCCTGCCTCAGCCTCTCGAGCGCTAGGATGACAGGCTAGGGGCAGCACTCTGGGCGATGTGACGTTTTCCAGGTACCAAATGACCATGCGCTCTTCCTGCAGCGTAAATGCGCAGCAGCCTTATTTCACAGAGTGGGAACCAAGCCCTAGTGATCCGCTCAGATTGGAACTTGGTACGCATTTGACCTTTGCATAAAAGAAGTAAAGACCAAAGAGAAGGTAAGACTCCAACCCCACCCTGCCACCCTTTCTGGCTGCAGATCCCTCCAGGGAACACCACTCTGGGGAAGGGGAGGTGAGCAGGGTGGGCACCTTGAGGAGGCAGCAGCCTCTCTCAGGATCGAAGTACCAGCTAAATGGTTTTGAGAGCAGATGCAGGGTTTAAACCCTTTCATCTACAACCTTGTGGCAGCCTGGAGGGGAGGGAGCTTCCCTCTGACCAAAGATCTCTGTGTACTCCCCGGCCCAGGACACTGTCCCCCAAGTTCCAGGAAGAACTTGCTGTCACTTCCTCCCTGACCTAACTCCACACATGCTGCCCTCCTGGATCCCGCAGGGGCCACAGCCACCAAGCAAAGTCCCTGCTGTGAACCCAGCCACACAGCAGGCCGTGTGGTCTTCCCAGAGGGCCCCCCCCCCCCCCGGCAGGAGGAAAAGAGGTCTAACTGCTTCTTGTCATTCTGACAGCGGGCAACTCCAGCAGCTCCATCACCTTACAGGAAGCTGAGCACTTTCTGCTCAGCCAAGAACTGGAAACTTCAGTGCATAAATACACTGAGAGGCCAACCCCTCGGAGCCAGGGTAAGTGGTTCTTGGCCTTTCTATGCTGTTGCCTAATGTTAAGAGTGACTCTGCTTAGGACGCATACTGCTCAGGGCTCCTCAGAGGTAGGGAATGCTCCAGGGGCCAGGCTGGTGTCTGGGTAGCCTATAGGTGCATCTGTAAAACAATTAGAACCAGGCAGTGTGGACTAGGTGGTATGGAGGCATAACTGCCAGACCTCGAGCAGCATAGTATTCTTGGAGTGCTAGGTGGAATTATAAGGCTTATGTGCAGATGCAAGCATGTTTCAGGGTGTGGAGGTACTGGAGACGGAACCCAGGGCCTTCCCGTTGGGCTACATTCTCAATATTTTTTTTTGAGACTGGGTTTTGCTGCATTGCTCGGGCTTACTCAAACTCATGATCCTCCTGCCTCAGCCTCCCAAAGTGCAGGTGTGTGCCACCAAGCCCCCTGCCAAAAGGAAACTTCCTTACATGATTTATTGTTGGGGACTGATTAATAAAGCCAGTCACACTGAAGACACAAGAGATGACTTTCATGCAAAGTTATTTAAAAACAAATTGCTTGCCAAATTTCCCCCTGTAAAGGAAAATCAGATATGGTATATGAAGAATCTGTAGTAAGATGGAAATGTTAGTTAGAAAAAGCACAGCGGAAGCGAGGGTGGTTTGACACTGAGCCAATTTCCTACAAAGCTTCAGTGGCTTTTAGCATCCCTGTAGCCCTGTCAGTGGGCAGAGACTTTTCTGACTGGTGGACTGGATGGAAGACACAAGGGCTGGGTGGCTCCAGGCTCCAGGGGACAGCTGACCTCTGTGAAGTGACCTTAAGGCAGGTTCCATGGCAGCAGGGTCCCTGCATTTCTCCTGTAAGCTCCCTTCTTAGGCCATCTTTAGGAGCAGCGAGCCTGGGGTTGTCACAGGGCCTGGAGTTTTAGGGAAATGGCACCTAGAGTGGGGTCGGGTCAGCTGGCAGTGGTGACTCAACTTCCTGTCACTTCTGCCAGACTGACAACCATCTGGGTTCAGGGGAACAGACTGGCCAGGCCACCCCAAGGTGCTGACCTCCAGGCCAAGCAGCCTGTCCTCAGTGCCATCTGTAGGGGCAACAAGAGGTGAAATTGAGCACCGGTGGGTCACCTGGGCTTCTCAGAACCAGGACTGAGAGTCGGAGCAGTGCAGCAAGCCCAGGGATGGATCCAATGGGACGAACCCTAAAGAGCACTGCCCCTCCCAGCTGGAGCACCTGCCACCCGCCACAGGCCTTGGTGTCCATTGGCCAAGCCAGACGCGTGGACTTCACAGCTGGAAATCTCAGTAAGGGGAGTGGAAGGAAGAGCCCCAGACAGCCAGGTCCCAGGCCCGATGATGACTGGCGGTTGGGTCCAGTCTCATCCTCTGGTGACCACATAATGAAAGCCTTGTTTGGTTTTATTTCCTCATTTTCCAGGGTTAAAATATTTTTTTTTTCAAATTTTTTTTTAATTTTATTTAAGGAGAAAAGAAAAAAAAAAGCAGGGAAAGGGTACAAGTTATACAGATTTACAGAAAAAAATGAACAGTAGGAAATCACTAGTTAATGGATTACATATTGTCATCTTAGAAATAATTGTTCAAGTCACAAAATTAAAGCTTGTAAAGTGGACATTCCATCAATGATACTGCAAACAGTTCTGTTCATTGATCCAATAAAACTCTGTGATATCATTTTCTATCTTATACACTTAAATATACATGCAGTTATATAGTTTGGAGCACGTTCTTTTCCTTTCTTTTGTACCATGACTATTACACATTTTGAGTTTCATTGCTCCCACGGTTCTTATTACTTTTTTGGAAGAGAGTAAAACCAAATGTGCCATAACAGAACAGAATTGGTCAAGTCAAAAGGGTGGACATAATAGATAATGTAAAAACATAATACAAGGTGATCAACAATGGTTACCATAATGCCTCCCGCTATCTCTAATAGAATTGCCTATATCGTTAGTTATAATACAATTGAACAAAACAGTAAAGAATAAAACCGACAAAACCAAAACATTGGAGACATTGTAGGTCTTCAAAAGTAGATAAAAGTCAACAAGAATGGGCGTCATAATAAATCTCATTATCTTCACAGCTGATGCCTAAACTTTTGAACCTGATACTATGCAGCAAAACAGAATAGGGGAACATCAGTTAAAAACCAGATGGTGAGAGTAATACAGGGCTTTAAATCAAGGTAATGAAAAGTCAAAGTGGGTTACTATAATATATCCTGCTATTTTTTTCCTTTAATTAAAAGGATAAAGATAAAAAAGTAAATAATGGAGTGGAGATTGAGATAAAAGAGGGCATAACAACGAAACAGTGCAGATCAAAACATAACCATTTAAGCAGAATAGTGTTTCACCACCAGATAACCCTGACCTAAAAGTAGTTACCATATTGTCTCTTTCTTTGAAATCCTTTAGTACAACTTCGTATACTATAGCATTAAGTATATCAAAACAATGTAAAACCATTCAAGAGAATGACAGCATTACAGAGTATTTAGAATCAACTAACAGAAAATGAACAATGGTTTCTGTATAATCTCCTTGTCTTTAAAAGGTTTTTGCTTATACTATCGTACATAATAAAATCCAATAAGATACAGCCTATTTAGACCATTGGAGACAGGACAAAAGCTAGATGAGACTTCAAAACAAGATGATACTAAATCAGTATTACCTATTAAGATGTCATTTTCTCCAAAATAGCTGTTCCTATCATCCAATCTTCTCTGCCTCATTTCTGTTGAGCTCTTTTTCTGTCAGTAGCTGTCAGTTTGTCTTCTTCATTTTGTTCTCTGCTCCATTCGTTGTGGCCTCCCCGCCACTATTTCTGGGTTCTTTGTATTTTTCTTTTTTTAGAATATCCTGCAATACTTTCTGTAGAGTTGAATTGGTGGTTGCAAATTCCCCCAGTTCCTCTTTATCCTGGAAGCACCTTGTTTTTCCATCAATTTCCAGGGACAGTTGTGCAGGATATCTCAATCTTGGCTGGAGATTATTATCTTTCAAAGCTTGAATTATTTCCCCCCACGCTCTTCGTGATTTGATGGTTTGTGCAGAGAAATCTGCTGTAATTCTGATGGGTGTTCCCTTGTAAGTGGTCTGTTTCTTATCTCTTACAGCTTTTAATATTCTGTTCTTGTATTGAATTTCTGGAATTTTTATTATTATATGCCTGGGTGTTGCTCTGTTTGGGTTGTAGGTAGCTGGGGTCCTGTATGCCTCATACATCTGAGTATCTTTACCTTTTGCTAAATTAGGAAAATTCTCCTGGATTATTTCTGTGAGTAGCTTTTGTAGTTCACTTGTTTGTGTCCCTACTTCTTCTTTTATGTTCTTAATCCTCAAGTTATGAATCCTCTTATCATCTTCTTGTCTTTGTATTATTGCTGTTTGTTTCTTTGTTATTTTTAAGAAGTTTTTCATTTCATTCTCCCATATTACAAGTCTGCCCTCCAGTTCAGATAGTCTGTCCTTAGTTTCTTTCAAGCTGTTATGCCAGTCTTCGATAGACTTCTTAGTATCTTGGTAGTCCCTTTGAACCTGCTTCACGTATTCTATGCTTTCTCTGTTTTCTCCATCAAACAATTCTCCCCTTGTTTTCTGTTCTTCCATTCCACCACCTGTTTTTTCTTGGGTGGTACTTAGCATTTCTCTAACTATTCTGCATACTTCTAGCTTCAGGTCGTTGATAACTTCATTCTTGAATTGGTCTATGAGGCTCTCTATATGGTGCCTTATGTGTATTGGTGCGGTGTCTGCTATTGCCTGTTTCTCAGAATTGGGGGCCGAGGAGCCTTTCTTGTTGCTGCCTCTTCCCATGCTGCCTCTTCTTCTCTGTTCCTTATATATGCAAGCTTATATAAGAGGCCCAGCTTCTCTCCCAGTCAGCCACAGCCTGATCGAATTGCGCCAGTTAGGTGTTCCCGCTCACTGCTGCGCACCAGGGAGTTACGGACCAGGCAGCCTACGCGTCTCCCCTCCCGGCCACCGTCAGGCTCTGGGATCTGGGTTGGGACAGCCTACCGGGTCCGCTGGCAGCGTCACGCAGGCTAGGTGCTTTTCACCAATCCCGTCCGAGAGGGGGATGTGTGGCTGGAGTCGCCACCGCGCCCTGCTCCCGCAGGACTGCTCGGGCCCAGAAAGTCCTCTGCTGGAGTCAAACTGTGGTAGAGTGTCAGTTTCTCTCACTCACCTCACCACAAGTCAGTGCACGCCTCCCTGCCGTTCGCAGATTGCCGTTCTCAGAGCTTCTGCGTGTCTCTCTCCTTGCCGAGCCACTGTAGAGGCAGCCAGCCGCCGTGCGGCGGGAAACCCAAATCGCGGCTTACAATGGCGCGGGGTCCAGCCTCCACACCGAGGCTTTTCTGTTCCTGTTTTAGCACCAGGACTGCATTCCAAGTTGGTTTCTCTCAGCCCAGTTCGTTCCTGAGTCAGCAGAGCATATTCCACCTGCTTATGTCTCCTTAGTCCGCACCATTCCTGGCTTCTGAGCCGAGTCTTTCAGAGAGCCTCCGGTAGTTGCTGTTATCTGTCCGCCATGTTCTCCCGGAAGTCCCAGGGTTAAAATATTTTAATCCACACTTAGAAAGATACCTGTTTAGGGGCTGTGCTGGAACAGCTCAGTGTATGTCTGTGATGTGTGAGGACAAGAAAGGGAAACTGGTAAACCTGTCACCTCAGACTTTTGTCATTTCCTTGGGTTAGAAGCATCCCAGGCTCCCTACGACCTACCCAGAACTCACAGCTATGGTCACCCCTGGTCCCCGCACTGTGCAGCAGGGCATTGGAAGTTGCCCCTCTCTTCCCCCAGCTGCAGCCCTGCACATATTCAGCCTCTGCCCTGCACTGCACAACCCCAGCCTTCCCAGACTCAGGAAATCCCTGTGCTGCTTCTCGAAATTTCTAACTATTTTCCAAATGGAAGGCACTGTATGTCCATCACTGCCCAGATGCATTAGTGCCTAGACTGTAAACCAAGAGACCCAAGGTGTGACAATCAGGGAAAAGGGGCATCCACTGGGACACAGGTCACTGTGTGAGGTCACCTCACAGCTGAGGCTGTGGCTAACTCTGCATGTACACACACACGCACGCATGCACGCACACACCCCCTGGGCTTCCTGCTGAATCCTCCCCACGGCAGGCCAGCAGGTCTGCTGTGACCTGTGCTCCCACTGGGGCCACATGAGGCCCCATGGCCCAAGCCAGGCTGAGTGGTGAGGCCCCCGTGCCCTCATCCACAGAGTGATGGGCTCAGCTTCCATCATCTCACCGTGGCAGCACTTTGGGGTTTGGAGTGAGTCACTTTTGCATGACAGGACATCTTTAGCCTTTGTAGACGCAGAAGCCACGGAGCTCTCTGTGTGAGTTTTCCCTCCCAGAGTCCTCCTGGGGACTTCAGGAGACAAAGCCATCACCTTGAGGTCAGAGGCAGGAGACTGAAATGGACTCTAGGTTGGGTACCAGAGGAATGCACCCCTGGACTTGAGCTCCAGCTCTGCTCCCCAGAGCTGTGTCCTCAGGCACCTTTCCTACCACTTGGCACCTCTGTGTCACCTGTTCCCTTTAAAACAGGAAGAAGGAGTTCCCTTCAAGGGTCACTGAACACTGAGTCTGAGTCTTGATCCTCAGATGTGCTCAGGAAGCCTTGGTCACAGAAGCGTGGGGAGGGCCCCGGAGCTTGTCCCCTGACACTCATCGCCGAGGGATTCAGGGTCAGTATGAGCATTCAGTGCTGCCCTTGCTGTTGGACTTGACGGTCCATGAGGCAGAGAGGACCCTCCTCGCTTGTCAGTTTGTCCCAGTAGAAAATGGGTCTTGGGTAAACATTTGCCCAGGTGATGGGAGAAACATAACCATGGCCATGACTGCCCTGCCCAGAGCCTTTGAGCCCTGATAGAAACATTATCCTCTGCCCACAGGGCAGGCCAGGATGGAGAGCTTCGTCACCACAGAGGACTACAGCCTGATCACCGAATACGACTATTCGGACTCAATTCCATGCCAGCAGGTGGCTGAGATGGCCTTCGGGGCCCAGCTGCTGCCGCCCTTGTACTCTCTGGTGTTCGTCATTGGTGTGGTGGGCAACACCCTGGTGGTCCTGGTCCTCACAAAGCAAAAGCGGCTCCGAAACATGACCAGCATCTACCTGCTCAACCTGGCGGTGTCGGACCTGCTCTTCCTCTTCACGCTTCCCTTCTGGATCCACTACATCCTGAAGAACGCCTGGGTCTTTGGCCACGCCATGTGTAAGCTCCTGTATGGCCTCCACTATGTGGGCCTGTACAGTGAGATTTTCTTCATCATCCTGCTGACCATCGACAGGTACCTGGCCATCGTCCATGCCACGTTCGCCCTTCGAGCCCGCACCATTACTTTTGGCATCATCACCAGCGTCATCACCTGGGTCCTGGCCATCTTGGCTTCCATCCCAAACTTGCACTTTTCCCAGACAAAGAAGGTGTTCACTGAGTATGCCTGCAGCATTTATTTCCCCCATGAAAGCCACCGGGCCTGGCGGTACTTTCAGGCTCTGCTGCTGAACCTGCTGGGATTCATGTTGCCTCTGCTGGTCATGGTGTTCTGCTACACAGGCATCATCAGCATCCTGTGTCGCCGGCCCAACGAGAAGAAGGTCAAAGCCGTCCGACTGATCTTCGCCATCATGATCATCTTTTTTCTCTTCTGGACCCCATACAACCTGGCTGTGTTTGTTTCTGCTTTCCAGGAGCACATGTTCACCAACTTCTGCGAGCAGAGCAGGCAGCTGGCTGTGGCCCTGCAGGTAACACAGATGATTGCCTACACTCACTGCTGTGTCAACCCGGTCATCTATGTCTTTGTGGGTGAGAAGTTTCGGAAGTACCTGCGTCAACTCTTCCAGTGGCATGGGGCCATGTACCTGGAGAAGCCTCAGCCCTTCCTCAGCAGGGTCCGTCTGGAGAGGGCCAGCTCCACGTCTCTGTCCACCAGTGAGCACCAGCTTTCTGGCATGCTCTGACTAAGAGACCGGTAGCCTCTGTGATTCCTGGTGGGAGTGGCCTGCTGGGTGGGCCACCAGGCAGGGAGTGGCGGCTGTGAGGCTGTCCACACCAGATTCCAACCCCCCCCCCACACACACCATGGAAACATAGCATTTGGGACAGATGGCACTTGAAGGTCTGGACTCAGTCACTTGGGGCTTCAATCTTGCCATGACTCTTCTTAGTGGAGAAGGACAAACGGGTGACACGGGACATTCCAGAGTGTGAGCCTGTAAATTCCAGGGAATGGCTTGAGTCCAACAGGATGCCCAGTCTTGGAACACTGGCATTCGCAAAAAACCCCACTGCAACTGCCCTGATCAGCTCAGAAACAGTGATTTCCCTTAGCTGCCTCCCACACCCGTGCCATCTTCTGGAATTATGGGAACACAGAACTCAGGGTGGCCCACTGGATACTGACACAGGAATGAGTTTGGGGAGGAGCTGTTGATAGTGAATAAAGGGGAATAGGCATCTGGGAAGATGCCTGCCTGGCAGCTGGGCAGACAGCTGTCTGTCCTGAGCAGAGGAGGAGGGGCCCTGTAGCTCATTCACCCAAGTTGTGCTTCCTTGCCCAGCTTCAGCTGAGGACCCTGCCCACCATCCTTTGTCCCCCTCCTCCAGATGGATAGTCTAAGTGCCGGGGAGATACTCCCAGGTTTCTCCTGACCAGTGAGCTCACATCTTTGTTCATCCTGTTTCCTAACAGACAGGATTCCCTGTTTTACCACACCTGCTGTGTCCAGTAAGCCAGGAAAAGTCTCACCAATGTGAACTAATAGCAGAAGAATTGCTTGCTAGACACCCCTGCAGAGTGGTGGAAGACTTAGGATTCCTCTTTAGAAACAATGCCACCTTCTCCAAAAGATAAGCAATGACCAACAGAGAAACCCTGATGTACTCCTTGTTCAGGATAAGTCTCCTGCTAGGAAGCCTGCTTGTGATTTTCCACGGTTGCCTAAACTTTCAGCTCCCTGGCGAGTTGAGTCATCTTCTTTGCTGAACCAAATAAACATCTAGATTTGTTTCTTCTATTTAGTGATCAGCCCTGTCCCGAGCCAAGGCCCCAAGAACCAAAAACTAATCTCAGGGAGAAACCTTTATATGCTCGTGTACAAACTATGACTCCAACCCACCTTATAAGACTTCATAAGTTCATTCTTCTGTTTCTGTTTTCGCTTGTGAGTGGAAACTCACCCGCCCAATCTACTGTCCCAGTTTACCTATCATCTTCTCAACCAGTCCCACTCTCCATCAGTAAAAAGTTACAGTGCTTCTCCCCTGCCGCCTCTCGCGGCACACTGCATGGTTCCCATGCTGGTGGTCCCAGAGAAAGCCAGCCGCCCCTGCACAATCAGGTACCATCCTTGCTTCAATCTCTTTTCCTTCTTGTATTTCTCTATATTTTGCCCCAATCACTTATAAATTTTTTTTTCTGGAGGATAAAATCACCATATTAAGGACTTACTTACTGCATATAATTTTCTGGTTTGTTTTAGATGTTGTTCTATAGCTACAAACCTAGTTCATAGGGTTAAACTAATAGTTACCATATTTTCACTTTTCTGGTGTGTTTGATGCTATTGTTTCTGCTGCTGGTACCACCTTAGCCAAGATGACATAGGTGTTCTAATCAGTTGTTCTTCCCAGTGTGCCAAGACTGAGACTACCTCTGGGGCACGAGCAGCACTGCAGGCCAGTGCCAGAGAACCATGGGCCAGGCCAAATAGGCAGCTGTGGGAGGCTGCTAAGCTGCGTTCTCTGGAGAAATGAAGCCCCTTGTCCCCATCTTTCCCTTACCTTTACTTCAGCCCTGTTTGCTGAGATATGTAGAGCTAGCTATGCTGAACCAGACTCTCCCCTAATTGTCCACAAGAATGTGACTGAGTCTGACAAGATGATAACCTGTCTCATTGCAGCATCTGGGTCAAAAGTGCTTCCGCTCCTGCTGGCTAGAATGGGGACTAACTCTAACCGTACCCTAACCCTAACACTAAGACATGAAGTCACATCTCAGCTGGAGCCATGGGACTCAAAAAGAATTATACTTTCCTGGCAGCAAAGGTGCCAGCCTCGCACACTGCAAATTGGCCATTGCATTGTCAACTGGAGAGCCTCTGTGCCTGGTACAAAATTGTTCTGTTTCTTTTTATAGCCAATGACTGCAACCTCCCCCCAGCACTCTGTCATGACAACCACCCACCTCCCTAATTGAAACCAATAAAACTTGTGGCCTGTTGTTCCACAGAACACACTGGGTCATTCTAGAGTTCCTCAACTGCAAAATGGTCTCTCTTTGTCGCTCTTGTGCATCCCTGTGTTGTGTTGCTAGGTGGGAGACCCATACCCTCCACAAGGGTTTTGGTAGACACCAACTTCTCATCCCCAATAAATTAAAAGAAGTAGAACTTTGCAACTGACTGAAAACATAAAACACAAAATCCAGCTAAACCTGGTTCAAAGAAGTAATCGCTTCCTAGATGTTTTCCAAATTAGAACACACACTAATTCATAGAACATGCCTAAGTAAATATAAAGGAATTGAAATTACGGCATGCATATTATCAGACCATACTGAAATTAAATTGGAAATCAGTATCAAAAACACACAAAAACTTCATAAACACATAGAAATTAAATAACACCCTCCCAAACAATCAATGGGTCACAGATAAAATTAAAGAAGAAATCAGACAGTTTCAACAATAAAATGATAATGACAATAAAATATACCAGAACTTATGGGATATAATGAGATCAGCCCTACCAAGGACATTTATTCTGGTGAACTTTCATATCAGGTAAACAGAGCAAGTTCAAATAAAAAGCCTCAAGTTGAACCTTAATCTTCTAGAGAAAAAAAGAGCAAGTCAAGCCCCAAACTGGTGTGAGGAATGAAATTATAAAGATTAGAGCAGATATTGATACAATAGTGACACAGAAACAATAAATAATGAATCAAGGAATTGGTTCTTTCAAAGATTAAAAAAAATCTTCATACAATGGAGAATTATTCAGCTAAGTGAAATAAATCAGACTCACAGGTGTAAACATCATATTGTCTCCTTAGTGTAAAAAACTGACAGAGTAATTAAGACCCAAAATGTATAATAGATATTGTGAAAGTGAAAGGGGAAGACCCTGATCAAAAAGAAACAACAACTGAGATTGGGGAAAGGAGAAAAAAAAGGAGGGAAAAGACTATATATATAAATATACATATATATATACATATATATGATAGATAATTATACTACTAATTTCTGTTAGTTCATCTAATAGAATGGTTTGTGCTTTCATTGTATGATCATTTTTTCATAACTGTATCTTGTAATCTGAGCAACTACTTTGAAGATAACAACCCACAATATAGTAGCCATTGTAATCTCCTATTATGCTGAGTTGAAATTATTCCCATTGTTTTTAGTCTTTTATTTTTGGTTGTTTATTTTAAAATTTTAAAAAATATTAAATAAAATCAACAAACCTTAAGCTAACTTTATCAAAAAAAAAAAAAAAAAAAAAAAAAGAAGGAAAAGACTCAGACTCACACAATTAGAAATCCAAAGGGGGAAATCACAACAGATCCTGCAGAAATTCACAAGATCGTTAATACCTACTTTGAGAACTTGTATACCAATAAGATGAGAACACAGAAGAAACAAACAGATTCCTGCATACATATAAATTACCAAAGCTGAATCAAGAAGATATAAAAATTCTAAATAAAACAATATCAGCCAATGAAATTGAAGATGTAATTAAAAATCTATCACCAAGGAAAACCCAGGCTCTGATGGATTCACTGTGGAATCCACCATAAATTTAGAGAAGACCTAGGGGCTGGGGATTTAGCTCAGTGGCTTAAGCGCCTGCCTGGCAAGTGCGAGGTCATGAGTTTGATCCCCGGCACCAAAAAAAAAAAAAAAAAAAAAAAAAATTTTAGAGAAGACCTCAAGCTGCCACTTCTCAAACTCTGTAATGAACTTGAAAGGAAAACGATACTTCCACAATCATTCCTGGAGCCGACCATTACCCTGACACCAACCCAGAGAAGGAATCAACCAAAAAAGAGAGCTACTTGCCAGTCTCCCAAAGGAATATGGTTGCAGAAGTTCTCGGAAAGATAATGACAAACAGAATGCAGCAAATCATCAAGAAAGTTACACCCCATGGCCAAACAGTGTTCATCATTCAGGTACAGGAATGGTTCAGCATGCACAAGTCAATAAATATAACATACCATACTAACAGAGCCAAGGACAAAAATCATGTGATCATCTCAATAGATGCAGAAAAAGCATTTCACAAAACCTATTCATGATTTAAAAAAAAAAAGATAAAATTGGAAAAGATGCTCTTTACCTCAATCTGATAAAGGTCACTTATGACAAACCAACCGCCAACGGCATGTGAAATGAACAAAACTTTCCCTCTAAAATCAGGAATGAGACAAGAATATTGTTGTAATCAAGGTCTGCAAAAGAGAACAAGACAATACAGGACACATAAATTATAATATTATTTATAATGATCACTCAAGGAGTCAAATGCAATGAAAGTGCAAGAAATCTGCCCACAACACTAAAGACCTAGAGAATCCAGCTGGGGGCCTGAATCCCATGGGAATGTACTGCATGAGTTCAGCTAAATATCTAGAGTCCATGACAGTGCCTCCTACAAGTCCAGCTGGAGGCCTACAGCCCATGACAATAATTCATTCATGTCTGTTTAATGGATCTGCACTGAGAAGGCCTCAAGGTCAGCTGTGGGAGCTAGAAAGTCTATGCCAGCAGAGTGAGGGAGCTGTGCCAGGAGGCTGAGGGCTCTGTACTGGAGCCAAGAAGTGATGCTCAAAGTAAGGATCAGAGCTCCCCTAAAAAAGTACCACAGACACCCTCACTGATGATGGGGTCCTGAGTTCCTTCAATGATGAGAACAGTGAAGTTCATATCAGGAAGCCAGTGTGACAAGCTTCTGGAGAAGCAACAGCACACATCTTCCCCTCCAGAGCCAGGAATCAATGCTCAACGTAAGGACCAAAGCTCTTCCAAAGTGAAATACAGCCATTCTCAGTGACAACAAGGTCCCAAGCATCTCTGACAATAAGAACAGCCAAGTTCATGTCAGGGAAGAAGCTCAACAAGCTCCTGCAGGAGAACTCATGGTAACAAGAGAACCAACAGCACCAAAGACAATGTCACACTTACTTCTTCCTCTCCAGTCCTCCCTTTTGTGCTGGCAGCAGTCTGCAGGTGAGTGATCCACTCAGCACCATGCTGATTGAATTCAGCTAGGGCTACAAATTGACTATCAATTTTCAGTCCACCACAGTTGTCCATTGTCACCACTCTTCTTCAATACACTTCTGGAAAAATTAGTCAAAGCAATTAGAAGAAAGAAATAAAAGGAATAAGGACAGACAAGAAAAAAATTATCATTATTTGTGAATGATATTGTGTTATACATAGAAGCCCCCCCCAAACTCCATCAAAAGACTTCTAGCTTTAATAACCAAATTCAGTAGCATAGTGGCACACAAAGTTAACACACAAAAATCAATAGCATCCCTGTATACAAATGACAAACTCATTGAGAGAGAAATTAGAGAAAAAATGCCTTCACAAGAGCATCCAAGACAATGAAATGCCCAAGAGTCACTCTAACAAATGATGTAAACATCTTTACACTGAAAACTAAAGGATGGTAAAAAAGGAGATGGAACAGGGTATCAGTAAGTGGGATCCCTCATTCTTGGGGAGAAAGAACCAATATGGTGAAAATGGCCATACCTTCAAAATTGTTGTACAGATTTAATGAAATCTCAATCATAAGACCAACAGCATATCTCACAGATTTAGAGGAAACAATCCCAAAATTCATTTGGAGTTAGAAGAGATGACAGTCATGTGCCACCATGCTCACATGAGAGCCTGCGTTTCTGATAATGTCTGATACCTTTTACCAACTTCCTGGGTCCCAAAGAAATTCCTTCCAGGTTCTTGGTGTCCAGAACAAAGCATTAAACAAGAGATCTGGGACCTTCTCTGTTTTCCTTCCTAGATCGTTTCTCTTCCCATGTGAACCAGGACAATCTCTGACGATTGTCCTATCAAAGGCTTCCCTGGCCTGAGGTCAGATCTAAACCATCCTATCAAAGTCCTGCTTAGTTTCACACTGAATGTTAATTAAGAACTGAAGTCAGCACTTTCTGATTGGCCCAGCCAGTTCCCCATACAGGATTTGGGAACCTGGGAGTCTTTTAGGGTTCTGTGTTGTGTGCACGTGTACTGGGGCTCCGTGATTAACAGGTCCTGCCCCTGCCCCACCCTAATCTCCCCCCTCACTCTCTTCTTGCATCTCTGCGAAGCTTGCTGTAGGGAGCACCTACAGGATTTATTGAGACACTGGTCTGCAGTAGGACACAGCTGACAATGACACTAGGCTGCTGGTCCACCTCTTGGGTACCAGTGGGCCTGGTCTTGGCTGCTTCATTGCAGAAACTTCTGACTGCCCAGCTCCTGACAGAGCAGACCCACAGTGAGATGCAAGAAGCATGGAATCTAGGAGATGGGGCTACTTTCAGCCTGCACAAAAGAAGTGGCTGACAGGCATGCATGACAGTCTGCAGCCTGGAACTGGGGTACCAAGGACCTTTCTCGGCCTCTATGCTCCTGTCTGTCCCTGTGACACCCAGACCACAGTGGGCTGCAGCATTGGTCCTGGGCTCCCTGTGCTTCTGGTAGAGTCCGTGTGCTAAGCCAGCCTCAGCAGGCTCCTCTTGCAGCCCTATGCACCGTCACAACCTCAGATGTCTGCATTTGTGACAAGGAGAGGGAGCAGCCTGGACACCCACAATAAGCTCTCAAGTCCTGCCCCCCAGTGTCTGCTTCCTGCCACACACCTCAGGCGCGGCCTCAGGACTTCAGGCTCAGTGTGCAGTGACCTTTTCCCAGGAGGCAGCCTGGGGGTGCTGTATCCCACAAACCACAAAGAAAGAGACAGCCTGTGTTCTGTTCAGTGTCATCTTTCCTGTAACGTAGCGTAGACTATATAAAATAGGTAGGAAGGAGACAAAGAAAGTCAGAACTAAATATTTGTACTTTTTTTTTGAGGGTCTCACTATGTAGCCGAAGCTGGCCTTGAACTCACAATGCTCCTCCTGCCTCAGCTCACCAAATGCTGAGATTGTAGGCATGCTATACCCAGGTTTAAACATTGCACTTTTAGGAAAACTGCAACTCCAAGACACAAGGTTTCCCAAGGTGGTTCACATCAGTACTCCCATTTATTCTTCAGTTCTTCCAGTCCCATCACACTCTCCACTCCTTTAAAAATTCATTAAGTGCAGATCTTAGCTTAGTTGATGAAGCGAAGGGCACACACCTGATCTTAAGAAAAAAAAAGTGGGAAAAGAGTTTTTAGGTAAAACATGTTAAATCATCCATCCCTTTCCCTGTAGAAGGGGCCACTATCTTTCTGTGGGTGGACCATCCTCTTCCTGTAAATCGAGAACAAGCAAGAACTTTCTAGAGATTCATGGATTTCACAAGTGGCTGCAGCAGAACACATGGACAGGCCAGACACAAAGCTCGGCAGGACAGTGCCTCCTGGTGGGCACATGGTCTTGTACCAAAACAAACAAAAATCCCACACACATGAATATTCCTAGCACCAAGCTGTGGCATCTCTTTCTCCCTCTGTCCCTTCTTTCCTTCCCTTCAGTCTCAGGCTTGCACTAGACTTCTGGAGCAGGTACTTTGAAAATTTGCCTCCCTTTTATGCCTCTTATTGGTGACTCCTGAAAATTCTTTGCCCTACTGGTAGCCAGAGGCCCCACAAATTACTACACGGAAAGCTGGAATCAGGTCTCCCACTGTCATCTTGAGAGCCTGCCCGGTGATCTCTGGACATCAGACCACAGCCCTTGAGCAATGCCGGTCTCTGCAGACAGAGCAGAAAGATGGGAAGACCTGGGTCTGAGGAGCCAGCTCTGTAGCCAGCTTCCCTTTGAGGAGGTGACTTTTGGTCACTGGACACCTGCTGTGTGGGGCCAGAGGAGAGGGCAGCACAGCCTTCCAGAGCTGGCTTCCATGCAGAGAGCAGTAGACAAATGACTGGGTAAACCCTGACACCCTGGGTGGTGATGAGCAGAGCGGAAGGCAGCACAGATGCTGCTTTAAAGCGAGACGGTTGTGGGCAGGAGACCAGAGCAGGGCACACTGGCTGGGAAGGGTTCATCACGAAGTCCAGGACCCATATGCAGAGAAGTTCCTGCAGCCTCCCAGGGAAGCACTCAGAGCTCAGGCTCCAGCTCCTCCCCCAGGCCCCTCCTCAGCGCAGAGCTGCTGTGCTCTCTCCTGCGCAGTAATCCACTCTGACCCTGTGGTTCAAACTCACTCTGCAGAGCACATTTCTTTTTCCTCTAATTAATGTAATATCTTATTGCAGTTTGTATTTGACCCATCTTTGCGAAGGACAGAAAAAACATAGAAACCACCCCAAAAGGAGAGTCCAGCCCCCCACCAAAACCCACTGATGGTTGGACTCCACTTCACCAAAGTAACATTTCCTTAATAAAGGAAGGGAGGCAGTAGTCTCTGCAGGAACCTGGGCAAAGACAATTCCAGATTCCAGTGCAAAGGCCCCATGGTACTGGTGTGGCCGGAACAGGGAGCCAAGGAGAGAGCTAGACAGATGAGCCCGGCATGGTGATGTGTATGTACCGCTGCCCCTGCATGTGGGCAGTGTATGGGCTTGGCAGAGAGCTCCCAAGAGAAATCAGGAGTCACTCTGCTTTCTGTGTTGGAAATGGACAAGGTGGAGTTGATAGATGTCGTGAGAAAGAAATTGTTATAGCCTAGTTCTAACCATTGCGCCTCATTTCTGTTTTGTATGCGCTGCTCAGCACCCCCTTCCCTTCCTATCTTTCTAGGTTAAATTTCAATTTTCTGAGAAAGCTGTAAAAGCCTTAGGTATCAGTTTCCTGTAACCCCTCCCCTACCCCTCATCCCTCTATCTGTAATAAAATGTGCTGTTCTTTAAGAAATGCTGTCCTCTGTAAAAATTGTAAAATCTTACCTAATTGAATGTTAACCACTGTTGCCCTCTACAAATAACAGATGTGGTGCTAAAATAAGCTAACAGGGGTTGTTAATTACTGCTAGACTTCTCTATTCTCTGCTAAGGGAAAGATGTTTGCCCAATATGAACTTGCTTGTATGCAGAGAGACTTGCTTGTTAGCCCAACCCCTACCTGAACTTTGCTCTTTCCAATGTAATCCCCACGTTCCTGTCCTATAGTGCACCCCAGCCCCCCTCCTTGCATTGTGAGACCAGCAGCTGTTTGTGGTTTTTACAAGATAAAAGCCCTGACTTTTAGCTGTCAGGTGCGCAGTCTCCAAATCAGCTCCTGGAGACTGTGTCACCAGGCCTGGTCTAAAATAAAGCCTTTGCTCCCCAAATTTTAATTTCTTGCTTCCTTGGGTTTTATTCCGGGTTCCAAGATATCACAGAAATGAATTCTTTATAATTCAAAGATGTAACAAGCAGATTTTGAGGACATGTTATATGTCCAGTTTGAAAGAGTCAAGTACAATTCCAGGAGTTTGGTAGGAGTGGTGGAAAGAAAAGAGCTGACCTTCACTTCGGGATGGGTGTTACTATGGCAACAGAGCCTTGGTGATCAGGAGTCCAGGTGAGGAGATTTGGATGTGAGCATGGGTTGGAGGGGCGAAGACCTTGTGGTGCCGTGAGGAGGAATGGAGCAGATGTAGATAGGAAAGAGGGCTCTGCCGTCAGATTCACTGTGGCCGTGGCAGGAGCTGTTTCAGTAGAGTGGAGAGGACAGGGTTGTGCAGAAAACAGGCTCACCAAGTCACAGGAGACATGGAAGTGGGCACAGGGCAAACTGAAGCAGACTCTAGATGTGAGCTGGACAGACAGATGGACATAGAATCAAGTGGACATAGAATCTCTTTGCTTGCCAAGCCAGAAGGAAGGTTTTGCCCATGAAGGTCGACCAGAACAGCCCTGTAGCACAGAAAGATAGGGTACAGTGGAGAGAAATACCAGAGACCTGAGTGGGAAAGAGGTCAGGTTGTTGTGCACAGTAGAATCTAGATAGAAGGGGAATCTAGATAGAAGCATGGAGATTCATCTGGGAAAGGGGAAGGGAAGAACACAAGGGACAGGAAAGTGGGCAGTGGAGAGGCCTTGACAGAAGAAATTGCTAGAAGAAATTTAGTCTCAAACAAGTAAGAACATAATAGAGATGGAGTTGTACACTTAGGAAGAGGCAGAAGGTGTGTAATAATAGGTAAGAGAAGGAGTGGGTGGTGGTGGACATGTAGAGTCCTTTGAGTACTG